CCAACATTTCCAAAAACCCTCCCCACAAAATCTTCCAAGTTCGGTCTTCATTAACAATTGTTTATTAAATATTAATAATATTACTAAATGTTCATTACTTAAAAATATTTATTTATTATTCTCACATCATTATTTTGCATTTTGTTTGTTTGAAATAATTGCAATGTTGTTGAAACTTCGCAAAACAATAATGTAACAAATAAAATTTATTAATGTTACAATATATGTTTAATTATTTTTTATACATTTTTTAAATAATTACAAATTTAAAAATACATAAATTTATAATTAAAAAAAACTATTTAAAAAAATGTTATAATCGTAAAATTATTTATAGAGTTTTATTTGAAATTTTATTTAATATAAAAAATATGTTATATTTGTAAACCAAATATTCTTTAATAATTGCTAAAAACATTTGAGGTTAAAATTGAATTATGAATCAAAATTGGTGAATTGGGATAGCATTAGGATTTGAAATCATGAATTGAGTTTATTTAAAGGTTTGGGGGTAATTTTGTTATAAGGTAGATGGAGAAAGTAAGGAGGGAGTTGGGATTTGTTCGACCCTACACCTGGTGATAAATATCGGGTGGGTTTTCTGCTGCCACGTGTCTCTTTTTTGTATTAATTTTATAATATATTCCCCGCTAGGATTTACCTTTAGGGATTTTAGAAAAATAAAAAAAGGGACACGTGACAGCAGAAGACCCACCCTGTGTTTATCACCGGGTGTAGGGTCGAAGGAGCCGGGAGTTGGGGAGGGATTAATATAGGATAAAATCACATACAAGAATTAAGTTACAATAGTTCAGTGAGGAAGTTAAAATATAGTGGGAAGTTAGAAAGAAATTAATACCCATAATAATATTTAGAAGTATTCAACACTAACCCATTTTTGGGTAAATGAAAAAATAAAAATTGGGTAAATGGAAGGTCCACCTCCTTCCTACTTAGACCCCTGGAGTTCTTGAATCAGCCTTATAAAACGTTAGCCACTATCCCAGAAAATCTTGAAATCAATAGTCTTTGTGTAATTTTATTCTATTTAGTTAGCCAAACAGCAAAATAATGTCAGATGATAATGAAGCTAAGTTCAGTTTGAAAGTAATGATAAATAAACAGAAAACCAAAGTACTATTTGCAGAAGTCGACAGCGATTTCGCCGACGTTTTATTAAGTTTTCTAACATTGCCATTGGGAAAGATTGTGAGGGTTCTGAAGAAGCATTATGGAGAAGATCAAGAGACACGTGTCAGTATCGGAAGCTTAACCACTTTGTACGCCGGCTTAGCAAATCTAGACAGTGTCCATTTCTCGACAGAGGTTGATAAGCAGACGCTTCTCAATCCAATAAGTTCATTCGACGCTGAACTTGGTAAGTTGAAACTCGATATCAGCGATTCGAAGTCCACAAAGTACTTTACTTGTGGGAATTGGCATTGTGTTTATTCTAGCTCATTAAATATAAGCATACACTGTGATACTGGTAGATGCCTTTGTGGGAGTATGATGAATAGGGAAGTGATCATTATAAATAAGTCTCAAGTTGACAATGGTGGTGGTTGTGGAGTTTTTACCATGGACAAAGTTTCTTTCTTAATCTCCGACGATCTGCGAATGGTGCCGAATAATGTGGCAGTACCCATAGTGCAAACTCTCAGAAATCTTGGCATTACAGATACTGATGGGGCCGAGTTAAGGAATGTGACTTTTGGGTTCAGTGAGGTTAGTTTCTTGATTGTTATTTTAATTAATTAAATAGTATTGTTATATATATATATATATAGTTTAACTATTAATATGTCTTGCATGTATGCCTTAGATGATGGATTTGCTCAAGGCCTCGTTATTGACCTCGACTCCATTATCAGACCTCATTGTCAATAAACTAGAAGCCGATTCTGGCACATCAAGATCTGAACCAGGAATATTGATTCGTGCGGAGGAGAAAGGAGCAACTTCTAACCCTAACAAGATGCTCTTGAATGTGATGGTACAAAAATCTACTAATAAGTTATTGTTTGCACAAGCGGATGAAGATTTCGTTGATTTTCTTTTTAGTTTGCTAACAATCCCTCTTGGAGGAGTCGAGTGCCTTTTGGATGGTAACACTTGTCTAACGAGTATAGATAATTTGTACGCGAGTATAGCGGATCTTATCAATGACAAGTATTTGGCATCTACAGATATAAAAAAAAAGCTAATGAACCCTAAGCTGCCTCAGGGTTACACGTCGAAGAAACAGATTCTTCCTCTAAGTGAACAAGTTGTTCTTTACTACTGTCGTGAATATAGCCAGTACAAAGATTGGCTGAGTTATTCGAGTGCTGCTGCAGATCCTGTTATTAGGTATCACTAGGCCAAAATGCATTTCAGGCGACTTTTTTTTTGCGACTAAAATGGATTCGTCGCAATTTTGCGACGTTTTATTACAAAAATGTCGCAAAAATACAAAAAATAAAAAATCCATAAATGAATTTGCGACGATAACAAGTTACGTCGCAAATATTGTCGCATTAAAGCAGGTAAAATAATTTCGTGAGCATTTGCGACGAATTAACTGAATCGTCGCAATAATGTGCGACGATTGTTCTACAAAACGTCGCAATTAGTTTTTTTTTAATAAATATTTGCGGCGTTTCGTTATTTTCATCGTGATTTTGTCCGTAGGTCTTCGTCTTCCTCAAGCCAGCTCCGTCCGTACTCCGGTGAATAAACCTGCAACGCCGGGAGGGGTTCCCGGCGGGAAAGCTCCGACGATCAAGTCAGTGATCGGAATAGAGGAAAAAACGTGTATGCAATGTAACAGTGATTAGTGTAAAAATCCCGTGTGTGTGTGTGTGTGTTGATTCTCTTATTTATAGATGAGGAAAGCTTGGCCTTCAAGGCTTTCCTTTTTTAGGGTTTCTCTTTTCCCCCAAGTCATGTATCTTGGGCCTGTATTGTCCTGGGCTCGCCTTACCTCGTTTTGGTATTGGGCTAGCGAGTTAAGGTACTCCCACGTAGTTCCGAGGTTCACGCCATACGACGACTTCGCTCATAGGACCGAGCTAAGGCATCATGGGTTCTTCATTATGGGCCTATCATATTGGGCTTACCCTAATGGGCTTATGTTTATTTGTTATTTGTCAAACTAGCCCATATCAACTACTCCCCCCTACTCCTTATTTATAAAACAAGTCGGTTTTTTCTTTACTTCGTTTTATAAGTACGGAGTATGAGGCATTAGTTCGCACTTCGATTTAGATTTACGTCGGCGTACACAGCCCCTCGTCCTTTCCCTTTCATTAATTGCTCTGACACCCCGCGTGGTTGGTTCAAGTTCCCTAGGTCATCATGAGAAGATTTCCATCAACGTTTTTCGCGCTAGGTTCGAGGTAATCTGCATTAAATCTTGTCCGTTCGGGTGGGCGGTTATGATTGATTTTTTCTCTTTCCTAGGTCATTACTAGGGGAGTCCAATCGACACTTCTTGCGCCGAATTCGAGGCGACCTACTTTGAATCTCGCCCGTCCGAATAAACGGTTGTGATCAGAGTTTCCACTTTTCCTCCTCCTATAAATATCTGACTTCCACGAATTTTCAGAATTTTTTCCTCTTCTTCACCTCTACGCTCTCCTTATCCTTGTTTACCTCCGGCGACTTTGCTCCTCGAGAACCAAGTTCTTTCCTATCCGTGCTTGTTTTCTTCTTCGACAAAGGTACTCCCCTTTTCACCCTACTTTTTACTATTCTTAGCCTATGTCTTCCAATTCTCCCGACCCTTTTGGTCAAAGAATGCCCTCCAGAGAGGGAGATGAACACCCTACCCTTACTCTTTCTTCTTCATCGGAAGAAGGGCCCTATTTTTCCCCTTCGGGTAAATTACTGAAAAAACCGAAGAGAAAAAGAAGAGATGACGTTTTGTCTTCCGCAAGGAGCGGCTCTCCTTCCCACAGAGGACTCCCCTAGTAATGACCTAGGAAAGAGAAAAAATCAATCATAACCGCCCACCCGAACGGACAAGATTTAATGCAGATTACCTCGAACCTAGCGCGAAAAACGTTGATGGAAATCTTCTCATGATGACCTAGGGAACTTGAACCAACCACGCAGGGTGTCAGAGCAATTAATGAAAGGGAAAGGACGAGGGGCTGTGTACGCCGACGTAAATCTAAATCGAAGTGCGAACTAATGCCTCATACTCCGTACTTATAAAACGAAGTAAAGAAAAAACCGACTTGTTTTATAAATAAGGAGTAGGGGGGAGTAGTTGATATGGGCTAGTTTGACAAATAACAAATAAACATAAGCCCATTAGGGTAAGCCCAATATGATAGGCCCATAATGAAGAACCCATGATGCCTTAGCTCGGTCCTATGAGCGAAGTCGTCGTATGGCGTGAACCTCGGAACTACGTGGGAGTACCTTAACTCGCTAGCCCAATACCAAAACGAGGTAAGGCGAGCCCAGGACAATACAGGCCCAAGATACATGACTTGGGGGAAAAGAGAAACCCTAAAAAAGGAAAGCCTTGAAGGCCAAGCTTTCCTCATCTATAAATAAGAGAATCAACACACACACACACACGGGATTTTTACACTAATCACTGTTACATTGCATACACGTTTTTTCCTCTATTCCGATCACTGACTTGATCGTCGGAGCTTTCCCGCCGGGAACCCCTCCCGGCGTTGCAGGTTTATTCACCGGAGTACGGACGGAGCTGGCTTGAGGAAGACGAAGACCTACGGACAAAATCACATCGCAATTGCTTAAAATAATTAATAATTTGCAAATTATTTTGCGACGTTTTCTGGTTTTCGTCTCAAGGATTTGAATTAATTTGCAATATCGTGAAAATTTGCAAAGGGCGAAATTTATATGTGCGGGGGGAAAATATTGCGACAATAAATATAAAACGTCGCATTTTATTATTATTATTATTATTATTATTATTATTACTTAAACTGGGTGCCCTAACCCTTCATCTTTCTTTTCGACACAATCCTTACCTCCTCCTGCGAACGGCCGACAATTTTGCCATTTTTCATCCTTCAACGACGGTGAGATGGGCACCATCACTGCGGCGGAGATAAGCTGCCACCACCGCGGCGGGAGACGCTACCTCCACCAGCTTATTCCTTCGCTTCCACCGCTAGCTTTTGCCGCCGCTACCACAAGGTTCCGTCGCCCCTGCCCTCGAATTTCACGGCTGTGGAAAGCTATTAAAAAGTATGGAATCTACGCTCCATTAAATCAGTATTGAGATTTATACCTGTCTTTTCTTCAATCTAATTTTGCTAAAATTAGGATTTTCAATTAAGAATTAGAAAAGTAACAATACTATCTATCTTTTTAAGAAAGTCAATAAGAGCATATATCTAGGAGTTATTTTTGTTTTAGTGCTTTTCTTTACTGATAAATCAACTCAAAATGCATTTGGTTTGCATCACTAGATTGTTAAAGATTCTATTTTGGTGTAAAACCACGCCTTTCTGTGGGGGATTTTGTAATGACGCCTAGTTGTTTATTTGTTTCATTAATTAAGTACATAAGGGTCATGGAAAGTATCAAGTGAAGAATTGCTAAAGAATTATATTTATTGCAGGCTTGACAATCTTCTTATCTTCTTTTGATGGTTTACCTTTGATTGTTTGTTTTCTTAGAATGGGTTGATTTTCAAAAAAATCAAATTTAAACTAGGGAATATTACCCCTTGTTCTTGCAAGCCTAAGTCTTGCTATATTGGTAAATTCATCCACAAAATGTTTTATCTTTTATGTTTTCTTTCTCACGAAACAATTATATGTTGTGTATCAAATATATGTTTCTCCTTTTCCCTTTTGTTTAGTTACTAAATTATCATATTCTTGAATCTTTGGTTTCTTCAGTAAATTGCAACAATTACATAATATAAAAGCTCATGCTTGGTTATTATGTTTTAAAAATATATCGAGGCAAAAAAAATGAATATAATAACATGAAATTCTGATTTTCAGCAGATTTTAAACTATATCATGTGAAGGCACTCTCAACTTCCTCCTCGTCCTCTCCGAGAGAAAACCATTGTCCTCCATGCTAACAACATCGAGGTTTCACTACCCTTATTTAGAGATTTCAAGTTCCGTTCAAGGGATTTTGGACATAACAATGGGAGAAAAAATCATTGCATCAGTTCTATAGCCGATCCACTATAGCCGAAGCAGCTAATGTAAGTTCACTGGTTATTAATTATAATGTCTAAAGGTCTGTGGTTATTAATGTGGATTGAATTGATACAAACATGTGAGTAGAACAACTTATCGTTGGTTTAGGGTTGCTTTCAATGGACTGAAATTGTCGAAAATAATTATTTTGGGACAAGTAGTTGTAAGAAAAAATGTGTTTTCAGATGCAAAACTTTTGGATATTGGACTTGCATATGATGTGTTTTGTTGATCAGATGAATAAGAACAGTTGGTTTGCTAAAGCAATAATATATATGTGGACTAAATTTTTTGTGTTGATGGTAATTTTGTGTGGGTTTGAAGTCTAATTTTGAGGTTTGTAAGACCATCAAGTAGCAGAGGTATACGTTAATTGCCGCACTGGGCCATATATTTGAGCAGAATGAAAATTTGGCGACTTATGTAATTCAAAACATTTGTATATATGTTCTTAGTTGTATATGATAGTTATATTTATCTTTCACTCACCATGCTCTTGTATTTGCTACAATATGTGTAGGAGATTTTCGATTAGCTTCAGGAAAGATAACGAGCCACTCAAGGTTGGTACTGCTTCATATAGCATTCGTTGTTTCCGTATTATTTCCTCATGCTACGTCTTTATTCTCTGCTAACTGCAAGATTCAAGTATCCTATATTGCTTTTTAATAATTGAATATTGATTGTGATTTGTATGTTTTCAACAGATTGAGAATGAGAATGGGCAACAAAATTCCTTTGTCGTCGGTGCCGACAACTAACTCTAATAAAGATGGAGAAAATTGAAGATTAACATATCTTTTATTTGTAATGCTACAACATTAACATTTTGTGTACTTTAATTTCATGTTTGGATGATTTATTTTTATCGTTTGATGATTTAACTTATGGATATAAAATTTGAGTTGTTCAATGCTTTTGTGTATTTGATAAATTGATTTTATTGGTATTGTTTATAATTACAGAATAATTAACTATTAATTAAACAAATGAAATCACAAATAAAAGAATAAAAAAATATATATATTTGCGACGTTGTATACTTTTTCGTCGCAATGTATAACAAAATATTGCGACGATTTATCTATTTTATGTCGCAAATGTAAAGCCAAACATTGCGACGATTGTGTGGAAACGTCGCAAACGTTTGCGATGATTCCTGAAAGGTCCGTCGCAGTATCTGCCTTGACGAAAAAATGAAGTTTGCGACGTTTATCCGGAAACGTCGCAAATATTGCGACTCTTTTTACATTTCGTCGCAAGAATTTGCGACGGCCAGTTTTTTGACTATTTTTTGGCTTCCGTTTCGTCGCAATAAATTCGTCGCAAATTGCTTTTTTTCGTCGCAAACAAGCTTTTTTCGTCGCAATTTTTCGTCGCCTGAAATGGATTTTGGCGTAGTGATATGCAGAAGGAAATTATGTTAAAGGTCCAAAAATGTATATGGTGAGTGATGATTTAACTGTCACTCCTTCAAGTATGTCCTCAACCATTTCGGTCCTAAACGAGCTTAAAATCCCTTTATCTGATATCGAAGAAGTTGAGGTGTACATTGGATTACAAGAGGTAATTAACAAGAACATGCCCCTTTTACGCGTCATCTTTATTTCATTACTATGTTTAATTGTAGGAGATGTATACATTTTTGGTGCATGCATGCAGGGTAGGGTTTAAGCATACTGAAGGCATCTCTTACATCAACTTCTGCTCTAACTAATGGCCTCAAGATCAGCCCATCTTTGTCTCAGCAGCCGATAGCCGAAACCCTAAATCTCAATTTCGTGGCTTGCACTTATGCTACTGCTTTGGTTCTTCGTGATGATGGCATGGATGTCACTGCAGAGAAAATAGAGACACTGCTAAAGGCGGCGAATTTGAATATGGAATCGTATTGGCCGAGCCTCTCCGAGCCTCTTTGCTAAGCTTTGTGAGAAGAGGCAGGGCCGTTCCTGAGAATTCGAGGGCCCTAGGCGAGATTTAAAGAACAAATTAAAACGGGGCCCCTATTTGATAAATCAATTTTATTAAAGGGTGTTCGGAATTAAATATACTAAAAACATACAAATAATGTTTTCTAAAAATGATGAAATAAAAAATCACGGGGGCTCAGGGGCAATGCCCCCGAAACATTTTTTGAAATGTATGAATATAAAATAACTTTAAATATGGAAAAAAATCAAAATTAACAGGATGATTTGTTGGTTCACTTCCTCCCGTGACGTATAATCTTTATAGCAAACAGACGTCATAAATATTTATAACACTTAAATACACTAATGAATATTGATTCTAATTTTAGGAATAAAAATAATTAATTAAGGCATTATAAATTTAATATTTAGGGGCCCCAAGATTAAGAAATTTGTAAAAATATATTGATCATTTATTTTAAATTTATTTTAGAACTGATGTTCCAAAATATTATATATAATAAATTTAAAAAAAAATAAGTGTGTAATATATAAAGTGTATATAAAATAATTTGGGGGCCTAAATTTTTGTAAAAATCCGGGGGCCCTAGGCGACCGCCTACTTCGTCTCCCCTCAGAACCGGCCCTGAGAAGAGGAACATTGAGGAGAGCAATGATGACTTGGGATTCGGGTTGTTGTTTGATTAGGTGGTTTCTTTTGAGCATGTATTGTCTTTAGTTGTTGCATAATTGGTGTTCAGAAAGACTTTTTGGAGTTTTCAACTTGCTCATAAATATAGGTTTTTACATATATTTTTATGTGTTAAATATAATATATTTTGCACCCTCGTACTATGACCGTTATCACAGTCACCCTCTTGAACTACCAAATGCGAGAAATTGGTTCCTAGCGTTTGCAACCATTAGCTATTCCGTTACTCAGTGATGATGTGACATATTGTCCATAGTTTTTTATGTTGTTTGGGCAGTTTTACGCTTTCTCAAAGTGTACTATTTAATCTGAAAAGAAAAGAACAAAATGTAAATTTAAATAAAAAGAAGGCTCTATTGTTTCGTGAAAATGGCAAAAGAAAGTATAACAAATATAGTTTATTATGAAAATTTCTGGGATGGGACCACAGGGGTGAGAGATTTGGCCTTTAGGAGCAAATTATGAAAGTTTTATCAAAATGTAAAATACTAAATTTTCAAATAAAGTTTAAATTCATAAAAACTTGAATTTCAATTCTTTGATTTAAGAATTTAAAAAAAAAATCATGTATAAAATCTTATTTTTTATTGCAAAAAATATGAAATAAAAAATAAAACAATCGAAGAATTTAGGTGGTGTTTGCAAATGATTATTTAAAAGCAGAAGTTAGTGATTGTAAGTCAAGTCAGTTTTAAGTGATTATTTCTAAATGTTTTGGGTGTTTGCAAATATTCCGGAAAATGAACTTAAATAGAAAAAACAGGGTTATGAGTGTTTTAAAAAAATAGCTTAAAGCAGATTATTTTAAGAGAAGCAAAAGCAAAAGTTGATTTTGCAAACATCCGAAAAGAGATTATGAGCAAAAAAAAAAACACAATCACTTTCAAAAAGCTTTTGCAAACACCACCTTAAATGACAAACAATACGCAAAAACACTTTAGTATGAGAATTCTGTAAAATATGAATCCCAAAAAAAAGATATAAGATTCCAAATTTAAATTATTGAATTAGAAAATTATAAAAATAATATTAAATGTCATATATTTTATTTTTTTTAATTTCTTCTGCTTTTCAAAAAAGAGAAAACAATTCTTCTCTCTTTCCTCAACATACCCTAACCCAACTGATCTGGGAAAACATGTCATTGCTCAGTCATATTTAACAGTGTCAAAATTATAACGGTCAATTGTCAAGTGCAGGGATTGATTTGTCGCATTTAATAGTTCAACGGGATAATAACGACAATAATCATAATACAAGGGTGCAAAGTGCATTACACCCATTTTTTATTGAGCATTGTATTTGTCTTATATAATCATCAATCTTATCGCTAAGTGTATTGAGTCGCACATATTCAGGTGGTGTTTGCAAATGCTTTTTGAAAGTGATTATGCGGTTTTTTTTGCTCATAATTTGTTTTTAGGTGTTTGCAAAATCAACTTTTGCTTTTGCTTCTCTTAAAATAATTTGCTTTAAGCTATTTTTTTAAAAGCACCCCTAATCCTGCTATTTCAATTTTAGTTCATTTTCCAAAATATTTGCAAACACCCCCAACTTTTAGAAATAAACACTTAAAACTAACTTAAATCACAATCACTAAGTTCTGCTTTTAAATAATCATTTGCAAACACCACCTCAATATCTCTCCGATTGCTCTCAACACTCTTCACAACATTCAGTATGTTGCAAAGCAGTCACTTATTTTTCTCGATCTACATACCAATATTTTATTTTTCTCAAAATTCCATTATTTGAAAGATCCGCGTCAAAATATTGTTTTTTTGACAAAATTACCTTAACCTTTTTTTACGTGTATAAACAATTAAAAAATTTAAATCCTAATTTAAGGCGATTTATTTTCTGTTGAAGCTGAAAACACATAGTCTGATCCTATTCGAAACTCCGAATCTCTTATATAAAATAAAGAAATGTTAGGGTAATCTAAGAAACCCCAATAACATATTTGTAATTAATTTTTTTTCTACAATTTTAAATCATTGTCAAAATTAAAACCTACATTTATTTGAATATTTGTTACAATTCTTATTTTCATTTATTTATATAACTGTTTACTTCACTTTTGAAATGTTATTTTGTGCATCGCACATGTTAAAAAAAAAATACTAAGCTAGTATAGATAATGATAGTGATGCGGGATCACTTGAAATGAGTAGTTCTAAGGTCGAATTAAATAATAGTTTATGAATGCGAGTTCGAATGCCACGAACTTTACATTGATCTAGGTACACGATGCTTAAGTCAGATGATGTCGCGTGTTGATAATTAATTCAATACTTGAAAGCAATTAAATAAAATAGTGATTATGCGAGCTTTTTACTAATAAATCAATGTGAGATGGGATTAATTTTTTTTATTTTAGGAACTGAAATGCTATTCAACAACTTTTACCGGCTTGCAGTGTGACTTTATTTCATTTGTAACTTTTCTTCAAAAAATTCAAAATCCTCTCAAACCCTATCCAAGGGCTTACGAATTCCTGCGGATTAAACGAGCAATTCAACAACGATTTAAGGTAAAACTCGAACTCGAAATCGTTAATCCAATATTTTATAGTAGTATATTAACAAATTTCGTCGAAAATCTATACGTTTTTAGTATTTCGAAGAAATTCGAAACTTTTCGGAAAAAAAAATTGCGTTTCGTGAAAAAAATCACGAAATTAAAGGGCTTCGTGATTTTTTCCACGAAATTAGCAGGTTTGTTTGTTTCTGTTACGTTTCGTGCAAAATCTTACGAAACAAAACCTTGTCTTTTTGTTTCGTAAGATTTTTCACGAAAAATATGTGTTTCGGCCGTTTTGCAGTTATTTCGTGAAAAAATACACGAAATTAGTGCTTGTATTTCGTGAACACAAACACGAAATGTAAGCATTAATTTCGTGTATTTTTCCACGAAATTACTGCAAAATTTCAGTTTTTTTTTTTAAGATTTGTTTTATTTATTATTATTATTTAGACTGACGTTAATAGTGTCTTATTTAACAGATGGCAGGGAAAGGCAAATCAAAGGCAATTATGCGAGCAGTTCGTAAAGAGGCTGAGCATCAAGAGCGCGAGCGCATGACTATGTCTACACGACGTAGGCGAGAGGCTAAGAGAGCTGGTGAAGCCAGATCATCGGTTGCACATCCCGATGTTGGGTCTTCTCGTGCTATGGAGGAGGAGGAGGAGGAGGAGGATGTTGTGGACCCCGTTCACGAGACTGAGGTTGTAGCTCGTGGAGGTCGTGGAGGCCGAGGACGGGGCCGTGGAGGTCGCGGTGGTCGAGCTCATACTCGAGTCAATCCGGATGTGCTAGATGGTCCATTTCCCGGTGGCCCGCGGGATCCGTCTTTGATTCCGAGTTTCAAGTCGCACGTAGCGGCATATATTTGGAGGGGAGAAGTAAGTTAATTACTTGTTTTAATTTTAATATTATAATTTTTTTATCTTATATTAAAATATTTTTATAGTTGATTAATTAATATGTTTTCTAAATAAATGATTGCATGAACGTTCGGTTGGACGAGTGGAGTCCCGTATCAACTCCCTAAACCATTTCAACTACGAGAAGATAGCAACTGCCCTAGAAGAAATAGATGTATCCGCAGACAAGCATTTTCTGCGGATGACCGGTTTGTATCCCCTAGCCCGATGTTATTTACCCGCCTAGATGCTCCGCTGTTGTTTGCATTCGTGGAGCGGTGGCAGTCGGAGACGAACAACTTCCATATGCCGTGGGGAGAGATGACTATCACTCTCCACGATGTCCAGATGATTCTAGGTGCCAATGTGGAGGGACGGGTGGTCGCGCCTAGGTACGACGAGGTCATCGAGCGGACACACTGCGTGTATTTGCTGTCCGAGGTATTAAACCTCGATTTTGAGGAGATTGACGAGTCATGGAAGCATGGGGGCCCCACATGGAGGATGATACAAGGACAGTTGTTGATGCCCGACACGCCCATGAGACGCCGAGTTCAGATATATCTGGTGTTTCTCCTCGGATCGATTTTATTCCCCGACAAGACATGTGATCGGGTGAAGCCGTGGTATATGCACGTGATCGAAGATTCAGTGCTTGATCTGGTCGGCACGTATTTGTGGGGTTCGGCCTGTTTGGCCAATCTATACAGGGAGTTGGGTATATGCAGTCGAGCACAGTTGAGGAACTTGGCGGGTTGCACCACCCTTCAGGTAAATTTTAATATATTTTGTACTTATTTTGTTCATAATGTTTTTAAATTTATATATTCTCTATTGTTTATTTCCCCAAATTTCTTTAAATAAAATATTGCAGTGCTGGATATACGAGTATTTCCCGAGATTCCAGCCGCTGGAGGAGAGCGAGCGGTACCGCGAGTTTCAGCCTCGATGCAAGAGGTGGAACGCGCCGCCAAAAGCGGGCACGCTCGAGCATATTCGAGGTTTACTCGACAATATGACAGCGGATGATGTAAGTTTTTTATATTTATGTATTTATATTTTTTTTTTTAAATATGAATTTTTCGATTTATGTGTTTATATTTTTTTTAAATATGAAATTTTTTGATTTTATGTAATTGTAGTTTGTTTAAATATGAATGTTTCGATCGGTTTATGTTTGTAGTTTGTTTAAATATGAATTTTTTGATTTATGTAATTATATTGTTTTTTGTTTAGGTCGAGTGGCTACCGTATGGTCGGGATATACACGAGAGTATCCCTCGTACGTTGTATCATGGCACGATCTAGTACATGTGGATCGTAGAGCCGTATATGCCTGATCGTTGCGTCCGACAGTTCGGGTGGGTTCAGGATATTCCGCGCGGCTTGATTTCATCGATGGAGCCATGTTCACGCGGTCCCAAAGGAGGTACATCGTACAAAGTCAACTACCCATTTTCGGGTGGTATGCGGGACATAGTCCAGGCTCATTCCATTCGTGCCAACATATACAAGACGGCACGACAACGGGGGGAAGTGGACGAGCACTACATGGAGTGGTACACCGATCAGACTCATCTGAAGATCAACAACCCCGACGTAGGCCCGACTCCACTGCATCGAGAGAATGTGAGGCCACCAGATCAGCCGGCTTATTACCAGATAGTACGTGCATTGTACCCGATCACCAGGAGCACTGGACATGACTGGATGCAGCAGTTTGCCGATCTACGTGCCGACCTTGGAGATATTATGCATGCAGCCTGCCGCCCGATATATTGGCATCGACCAGGACAACGACAACGACGACGACGATCATGAGGTGCAGCCGCCGAGGAGAGCGAGGCGGTAGTTTATCGATTTTTTTGCCAGTTATGTATTTTTATGAACTATTTAATTTTAATGTTTATTTTTATTATTATTAGGACTATGCATTTTTATTATTGTTAGGAACTATTTAATTTAATAATTTGTTTTTATTATTATTAGGAACTAATTATTTTACTAATTTTGTTTATTATTATTACGAACTCTTTAATTTACTAGTTTGTTGTTTTGTATTTTAATTCACTAGTTTTATGATTTGAATTTAGAAACTACGTACAACTGAAGCAATTAAAGTACACATTTAAACATTCCAAAACAACCTTACAAACAACCTTACAAATTTAATCGTTTTTGAAACATAGGTTAAACATAAAAAATGCAAAACACAACGCTACAAATTTAAATATTCCAAAACATAAATTAAACATTAAAATGCAAAATTAAAACAAATACAAATTTAAACATAAGTTAAACTTTCAAATACACGGCAGATGGTTATGATTACCATTACTCACACTCAAACGCCATAATCCATCCTCCGTTGATTTTTTGCCAATTAACCTGAACGGACAAGAACTTTTCTTCAATAGTACATGTCGTCCAGATTGATATATTGCACACGTTAAAACATTATATTTTTTCGATTTACAATGATTAATCAGTCGATGATTATGACTAATTGCTGTGTCTTTTGCCCACATAATTAACGCTTCTCTACTATCACACACAATACCACGTTCAAAGAAGTGACTATGATCGTGAGATTGTTCTCTTATTTCCTGCATAAATATTTGAAATTAAAAGACAATATTTAAGGGATTTCGTAGAAAAACATACGAAATGTAAGCTACAATTTCGTATAAAAACATACGAAATAAGAGCTTCCATTTCGTAGGTTTTACTACGAAATGTAAGCTTTCATTTCGTATGTTTGTCTACGAAACAAACAACAAACGATTTTAAGACACATTTCGTATAGTATTACACGAAATGGAAGCATATATTTCGTGTGTTATAACACGAAATGTCTAAAAACGTTGGAAATGAACAAAAAACGTGTATTTTCACCTCAAAATCGAAGCCGTTGTCATCCATGTCGATAATACTTGTGCTCTAACTGATATTGGTCGAAAAATTACTGAATTTGAAAAATTTCAAGAATTAAAGATTGAGAGTGTTTGAGAGAGGGTTTGGATAAGATTTGGAAAAGAAAAAAAAATGAATTATTTTGCACTGCGAGTGGTAAAAACCACACTGATAATAGCAAACCCCTTTTAGGAATAAGCTACATCAGATACGAAATCCTATTTTATCTAAATAACTTATAAGAATCCTAGTAAAATAAAAGTTAAATTACTAACCAATTAGGTCAATTACAATCAATGGCACAACAAATATAATTTCGAATCCGAACCACAAGGAAGCCTCTCACCAAGATCGTTACAAAGCCGATTTGTTTTCTTCAAAGAAATCTATAGTCAACATGTGATTTATTCCATTCGTACAGCATCATGTTTCTTGCTAATGGAGTCGAGTTCACTCTAAAAGTTATGATAAACAAACAGAAAACCAAAGTACTATTTGCCGAAGTCGACGGCGATTTCGCAGAAGTTGTATTGAGTTTTTTAACTTTGCCATTGGGAACGATTGTGCGAGTTCTGAAGAATTACTATGGAGATGCTAAGGGGACGACACCTGTCGATATCGGGAGCTTAACAACTTTGTACGACGGCTTATCGAATCTCGACAGCATCAATTTACGGAATGAATTCCGTAAGGGGATGCTTCTCGATCCCGTAAGTTCGTTAGAAGCTGAATGTCGAAAGCTTAAACTCGATATCAGTGATCCTTTGACCGTTAAGTACTTTTCTTGCCCGGACTGGAATTGTAAGAAACAATGCAAGGAAATGCTACCTTAACTTGCCCTTGTGGGAAAACGATGAACAAAGAAGTTTGTTTAGAGGAATCTGAAACTGCTGATGATGGCTGTGGTGGAGTTTTCACCGTTAAGACAAATTCTTTCTTGATCTCCGATGATCTGAGAATGGTGCCTAATGTAGCGGCATCGATTATGCAAACGCTCGAAAATCTTGGCATTACAGACACCGATGGTGCCGAGCTAAGGAATGTGACTTTTGGATTCAATGAGGTAATATAATTTGTTTCTTGATTCTTTTCAAACTTTTGGATTTTTTGTTGAATATGTATAATGTATATATAATTAGAAAGAAAAACATTTGTAATTTTGGTCATCTATGTTGGTCTATTTAGGGATTTACTCATGTGAGTTATATTATATTTCAGTTTCGCATGCAATAAAATTGCAAATTTAGCATTTCATGATGTGGCATTTGATGGATTTTGCTGGGGAGTTGGATGCTATACCTGGTTATTTATATCGGGTGGATTTAAACTGTAGATTTGATTAAATGTTACCCACTAATCGCACATAGACATGGATGTGTGTGATTATGTGTAGATCTACGGTTCAAATCCATCCAGTGTAAATAACCAGATGTAGCATCTAATTTCTTGATTTTGCTCTTACGGACTTTTAAAAGTTATAAATTCATGTATTGGATAAAATTTCTAGCAAAGTAGGACCAAAATAGGAAAACCTGCAGAGTTATTGCATGTGAACTTGAATTAGGATAACCAATTGGACTAAATCCCTTAATTGGCCAACATAGAGGATCTAAATTACAATTTTCTGCCATATAACTATTTCAGTTTTGTGAATTTTAATAATCATTGTCTGCCTTAGGTTATGGATTTGCTCAAGGGCTCGTTAATGTCGCGTACTCCGCTAACCGACCTCATACTCAGTAAAACAAAGGTTTACGATGATTTTGCCGGACTGAAATATGAGGCCAGAGTTTCCCTTCAAGAGAAGAAGAAATTAGATGCGACCAAGAAGATGAATTTGAATTTGGTGGTAAAAAAATCGAACAATAAGTTATTGTTTGCTCAAGCCGATGATGATTTCGTAGATTTCCTTTTCTCTTTTCTTGCCATCCCACTAGGAGAAGTTGAGTGTCTTTTGGGTAGTAACACTTGTCTTAAGAGTATAGACAATTTGTATAAAAGCATAGTGAATTTTATCGATGACAAGTATTGGGTGAGTCCACGTATAAAAAATAGGCTACTGAAACCCAATCTACCTAATGGTTATGTTTCCGAAGATACGCTTCTTCCTCTTAGTGAACAAGTTGTTCTATATCACCATCGGGATATCAACCAGAAAAAAGAATGGCTTTCATATTCAATCGGAAAAGATTCTGGATGGTTTCGTGCAAATATGTTCTCTCGAGGCCGAGAAAATTTTGTTAAAGGAACAAAAATGTATATGGTGACCGACGATTTAACTGTAACTCCTATGTGTATGACCTCAACCCTAACTATACTTAAGAAAATGGAGATCCCTTTATCTGATGTCAAAGAAATGGAGGTGCACGTTGGATTGAAAGAGGTAACTAATATAATTTGATTTATAATATATCTCATGATTCATTTATTCATGTATATATATACATTATGAGGTTCGTTTTGGGCACAGGCTTTAAGCATACTGAAGGCATCTCTTACATCAACTTCTGCTCTAACCGATGGCCTGAAGATCAATAGCATGTTAAAGAAACAACCTAAGCATGCAAGAGCACTGATAAGGCGGTTCGCACAATTGTTTAATTAGAAATCTTAGGCCTCTTGTTTGGTTTAATGTTTGACATCTCTAATAACTTGTCGCGTCGACCTGCAAATATTATATTATCATGATTATCTTGCTTTTTTGGCATGTTTTTTATTGGATATTTCAAAGTTCAATAATATAATTGAGTTTCATTAGATTATTAATCTTATCTTGGTTAATCTTATCTTGACAACCAAACGAAGCATTTTTATTAATGTCCACTATTGTTGACCGATTAACGTAATAATATTATTGTCTACTATTGTAATATTACTGTAAACACACTAATATTATTGTGTTTGACAGTAATATTACTGTCAACCACATCAATATTACTTCTTTTGGTTTTTTTATTATGTTTGCCTTTGTTGAACGGTCAACATATTAATATTACTCTATTACACAATAATAGTGACTGTTGTTGTGTTAAATTAGTATAAAAAAAGCTCATATTAAATTCTCTCCTATAATAATGGTGTTAATTATTAAAAGAAAACTAGAAAGAGTGGGCTTTTATGCAATAAAATTACGATAACGAGATTTGTTGCGAATTTCCCTTAATACAGAGGGCTATATGTAGTGAAAAATAAAAATTATTCAATTTTTTTCTCAATTATATCTCTATACATGAATAAAGACTGGTTCAGTTCTTAGTACTTGATGCATGTACAATGTACGTACCATGAATCAAATTTCAACAATCAAACTGAAACGCTTCGCTTACAATGTCCCTTGATATGGGGGGTAGACTCTTTGGTTTACTTTTTGGCCTTATAAAAAGAAAGAGAGGCTGCCATTTTCATACGTCTGAAATTTTCGTCACAATGTCTAGTGCTAAAGATGTAAAGTTCTCTTTAAAAGTTACAATGAATAATCAGAAAACAAAAGTTCTATTCGCAGAAGCTGATAGCGACTTTACAGACGTCTTAATCAGCTTCTTGACGATGCCGTTGGGAAGGATTGTGAGAGTCCTGAAAAAGCACTTCGGAGAAGAAGAAGCTGTCCGTATTGGAAGCTTGACCACTTTATATAACGGCTTAGCGAATCTCGACAGTGTCCATTTCTGGACAAAGGGTTGTAAGGAAGCGCTGCTCGATCCTATGAGTTCGTTCCGTAATGAATGTCTTAAACTAAAACTTGATGTTAGTGACACTCAGCCCATCGACCAATTCACTTGTTATCACTCATGTTGTATTCCAACGAGTACGAAAGTCTTACGTACAAGCAACTACTTTGATTCTGCTACATGCATTTGTGGAAAAACAATGTCAAGAGTTGCAGGTTGGAAGGATACCCAAGCTGCTAATAATGATGGAGTTTTTACACGAAAGAAAGCCTCTTTCATAATCTCCGATGATCTTAAGATATTTCCTAATACCACAGGATTCATTCAAACTCTAAGTACTCTTGAAATTACAGACAAGGATGTGGGAGAGCCAATCAATGTGACTTTTGGATTTAATGAGGTCAGTCATAATTAATTCCGTGTGTGGTACTAATTAATATTAGTACTTCTTCAAATTTCTTATTCACATTTTTTTTTTCTTTGGTTACTATTTATAGTTTATGGATTTACTTAAGGGATCTTTACTCTCCCCTACTCCACTATCCGACATCATACTCAATAAAAGAAAAGTCGAATTAGGCACAACAACACCAAAAACTGAACCAGGAGTTTTGTTGCATGCGATGGAGAAAGAAGCGACTTCCGCTAACTCAAATAAAATGATTCTGAAAGTGATGGTGCAAAAATCCACCAATAAGTTATTGTTTGCTCAATCAGAGGAAGATTTCATCGACTTTCTTTGTATTTTGCTAGCTATCCCCATTGGAGGAGTTGAGTGCCTTTTGGGCGGTAACGCTTGTCTTAAGAACATAGACAATTTGTACAAGAGTGTAGCTAATATTAATGGTGACAAATACCTTGTCACTCAAGATATGAAAAACAGATTAGTGAAGCCCAAGCTACTCCACGGCTATATTTCTGGAAACCCGATTTTGCCTCTCAGTGAAGAAAGCTGTCCTCGTTACCAGAACATCATCGCACAGAAAGCTGTATGGTTTTCGTCTGTCAAGTTCGTGAAAGGTCAGGGTAAGTATATTGGGGGACCGACACTGTACAAGATAACTGATGATTTAACTGTGACACATTTTTGTATGGGCTCAATCCTTTCTCATCTCAAAGACCGGAAAATTCCTTCATCTGATGTCAAGGAGCTGGAGCTCGAGATTGGATTGCAAGAGGTAATTTCATAATTTGAATTTGAATTTCCCTTCATCTCATGTTTCACCTATTTTTCACATAGTTAGGCAAAAAGTGTTTTCAACGACAAAATAAATGTTGTCACTTAACATTAAGTGACAACTGTTGCATTCACAATTGGGGTGTCGCTAATGATATATATATATATTATTACTACTACTACATGTTGAGATTCACTTTTGCTGTAGGTTTTAAGCATATTGAAGGCATCTCTTGCATCGACCGCTGCTCTAACTAACGGCCTGAGGATCAATGCCGTGTTAATGAAACAACCAAAGCGAGAGCAGTGACCTTGGTCGCAATGGTTCATGATATATATATATATATTGAATCATCCAGCAGTTTTGTTTGTTCATTAATATTTGAAAAATCATGTACTAATCAGCAGATTTTAAGATCAAGTTGCTTTAAACTGTATTATTTATTTATTGTTATCCGGGCTTTAGTCTCACCTATGTTCTATAATAACAATATTTATTTATATTTATTGTGTGTGTGTGTGTGTGTATCAATGAATCATAATTTCAAGAAGCTAGCTAATTTAACATAATTTCTTCAATGTTCAAGCAAAATTTGGGAAGAGTCTACAATATGAGGTCAAGCAAGAAGGCCTCTGTCCCAAAATAAAATTCTGTATGAGATGCTTTTTTCACCCCTCAAATTTCAAGTTAGAGACATGCTTTTTTCAATGAATCATAATTTCAAGTTAGAGACGTGCTTTTTTCACCCCTCAAATTCTTCCATTTCACCACCTAATTAAAACATAGGGTAAAAAGTTGGATAATTACAGTTTAGGTTCCTATATTATACACAAAATCAATTTTTGTCCCTATATTTGTTTTGCTACGATTTTAGTCCTTAAACTAACCACATGCATTTTTACAATTTTGGTCCGCCGTTTGATTTGAGTGTTAATTTGGATGGAAAAAGTCACGTGTTTTGCATGTGAGGATGCTTAAATAACCCATCGACCCTCGTTTTACCTCTATTTTTTATTTAGCCCCGATTTCACTTTAATTCTACAACTTTATCCTAAAAATATAAATTCCAAAAAATATTAATCCCAATAATTTAAGAGTTTCTTTTATTAATCCCAATTTCTAGGAATTACTAATTTGATTATACAAAATATTATTAATGAGTTTTTTTTTGTAAATATAATTTATTTCATTATTTGGAATTATTAATATGTAAAAAAATAATTAAACATATATTGTAATTTGAGCAATATTGTTTTTAGTCGTTTATACAGTAAATCAATTTGCCTATTATTATAAATTTTATTGTATTTTTATTATTCTTTAATAATTTTTTAGTAGTATTTCAATTTTAAATAAAAATGCAAAAAAAAAAATTTAATTAAAAATCATTTCAATTAAAAAAAGTGACATAGATGTATAGTTGATGGCTCGGCAGCGGCGGTGAAAATGGTAGACAGGGCGGGGCTTGGGCATTAGGAACAAATTTTTGGAGATATGATTTTTTTTGGCCGAATTTATAATAATAAAGTTAAACTGTGGCCAAATAAAAAATATAGGTGAAACATGGGGTAAAAGTACATGATCGCATGCCTCGCACGTGACTTTTCCGTCCAAACTAACAGCAATTTCAAACAGTGCACGAAAATTATAAAAAAACTTGTTATTTATGGACTAATTTCGTGCTAGAAAAAGGTTAAGGACCAAAATCAAAAAATGTGTATAATATAAGGATCAAAACTGTAATTATCCCATGATAAGAATAAGGCTATTACAAGATTTACTGAGTTTTTGTTGCCATTTTGCCCCCAAACTTTGACACATTTTGCACATTACCCCTGCACTAAAAAAATATTGCATGTTGCCCCAAAATAAGAAAACGAGATTTATTAGTTAGACAGTGGGCTAGAAATCTCACTCTCTCTCTCTCTGTATATGGATCTCCAAATTTTTAGTTGGTCGAATTGCCTTTCTAGTTTCTAGAGTATCTCAACTTTGAAATACGAGACAAAATTCATAGAAAAAATTTAAAGTCATAAACGCATTTTGTTAGACTATGTGTTTCCCTTGGAATATTTTGTTGGGCGAATTGCACATCACCCCCTGTAAATTTTGAAATTTCACATTTTATCCCGTTACAATTTTTGAAAGTGAATGTCCCTTTCAAAATGTTATTATTGTTGCACATTGCCCCGATAACAAAACTCTGATGAATCTTATTCATCGAAATTGAGTATTTTTGTTGCACTTTGCCTCTTTAAATGTTATTTTTGTTGCATTTTGCCCCTTAACATGCTATTTTTTGCACGTTGTCCCTTTAAAATGTTATTTTTTGTTGTACTATGCCCTCCGAAAAATGGCTGTTGGGCGAAGTGCAACCAAAATAATATTTCGAAGGGAGAGTATTCATTTTTTTATTTTTTTAGGGGGGAAAATGCGAAAATGGAAATTTTATAAGGGGTGAAGTGCATTTTGTCCCGTTTTGTTCTATCAGAATCTGCATGGGTTTTCTTCGAAACAACCAACCTAATTTGGGGAAATTGATTTCATTTATTACAAAGAAGGACAAAATGCACTTCACCCCCTTACAAATTTCTAATTTCACACTTTTCCCCCTTAAAAATTCAAAAACAGGATAATCCCCCTTTAAAATATTATTTTGGTTACAATTTGCAACAAGAATAACATTTTGAACGGGACATTCACTTTTAAAAAATTTGAGGGGGTAAAGTGTGAAATTAGAAATTTTTAGGGGTGATGTGCAATTTGCCCCCCAAAAAAAGGTTTTCTTTATGAGAAACGGACGGTCCACCTTCTCCTTCGACCCCTGGGTTTCTAGAAATCATGCCTATAAAACACGGTAGCCTCCTTCGCAAAAAAATCTTGAAACCATATAGACTTTTGAAATCATACTATCTTCTTCTGATTTCCTTCAATTTGTTTAGCCAAGAACCAAAAACAATGTCCGATACAAATGAAGTTGAATTCACCTTGAAAGTAATGATAAACAAACAGAAAACCGAAGTACTCTTCGCAGAAATCGAAAGCAGTTTCGCCAATGTTTTAGTTAGCTTTCTTACATTGCCATTGGGAACAATTATAAAAGTTCTGACGCACCTGACGGAGGCGGCGACAAGGTGGGGAGGCGCCGCCGCCAATTGTACCAGGCATCGATGTGGTAGTGTTGGACGAGGGGGGAGACGATCTCCAACATCTGCGGAGGAGAGTCTCCTGCAACGGGTTTCAGCTAGCGACGTTTGAAGGGTATTATTGGCTCAGGCAGCGGCGGTCTACAGATCTGAAGAAGGAAAAAAAAAAACTGTGAACGAGAGAGAGAAAGCGCTAGAATGAAAGAGAGAGGGAGAGATACTCAGGAGTGAGAAATAAAATTGTATTATGATAAAAATCTAACATATAGGGGCACTTTATTCTTATCATGGCTGGTATGGGGGAGTCTCACTAATTTAAATTGGGATACTGGGATTTGGGTACTTCGGTTTTCTGTTTGTTTATATATTAAATATATAAACAAACAAATATTGCATATTTCTCATATATATATATTAGGGTAAATTACAAACACTCCATGAGGTATGGTCAAATTACAAAAACACCCCTTTTGTTATGATAATTACAACCACCCCTCAACTCCTCAAATTTAGTGGAATCTTCGATACTATATGGAATATTATCGCTTTTGTACCCGTTTTATCCCATTCAAACTCTATACATTATGAAGCAAGATGATCATAATATGTGATTTTTAGCTTGTATATATCAGTTTGTGGTGCATCAGAAACTGTATTTTTACACAAAACGAGTACAAACTAGAGCACATTTCACGGAATCTAGATGATTATGTTGAATTTGGCACCATAAGGGTGGAGGTGTAAGAAAAAATCATAGTTAAGGGGGTAGATGTAATTATCCAAACAAGAGGGGGGTTTTGTAATTTGACCATACCTTAGGGGGGTGTTTGTAATTTAACCCTATTTATTAAATAGCAAGTAGGGCGGGAATAAAAATATTATTTGAAAACTGATCGGTTGGTTGAATATGAAGAGGGTAGCCGCAAGGAACTCCAATGAAAATATTATTTGAGAGTGGACTTTGCTTAGTTTAAAATTTAAGTATGCAAATTGCCGATGAACATTATTCCACCACTTTCTGACATTTCTCCAATCTCTTCCGCCGCCGCAACAACCTTCCCCCCCCCCCCCCCTCCCTAATCTCCTCCGCCACCTACCGCCATCTCCGCCGCCTACTTCTTTTAATCCCCGTATTTTTCTTTTTCCATTCTATTGTTTGAAACAAGCATTTCAATTTACTGTGTTAGATAATTTCTTTTTTTTTTTTTTTTTCAGTTTTAGATCTGAAATTGTTTCATCTAAACCTAGCTGAGGACTATGAAGATATAATTTTGTGAGTTCCATTGTCATTGCTTTTGTTTAAACAGGTTAAATTTTCCATTATTATTATTATTGTTGTTTTTTTTTTCATTTTTTGTGGAGAATTTCCGATAATCCCGAAATTCCAAATTTCCAATGCATTCCCGAAATGGATGTGATAAATGTCGTTTCAGTTTTAATAATGTTACTTCAAATGTGATTTTGACCATTATTAAATTTGAACTGGGCAAAATTCAGAACATGGAATTTGTAGTTCTTTGAGTTAGCTTTCTAATCTAACTTGAATCGCCAAGATTGGATGTCGGTTGAGAAAGTTATGCATGAATCAATGAACACTGCCCACAACTTTGATGTTTTGAATTATGTAAAATTTAAAATGTAACTCATTCATGTGTAACTTCATCACCCGATATCCAATCTAGCTAATTCAAGTTGGATTAGAAAGCTAACTTAAAGAAATACAGTTTCTATCTTTTGAATTTTGCCAAATTCAAACTAGAGAAGGGTCAAAATCACGTTCTAAGTCAAAACGATATTAGTAGAATTGAAACGACATTAACATTTCAGTTCTCAAAATTGGGATTGGAATTGAATTGAATTTCCGGTAGGTTTTTGAAAATTTCCGAATTGGAATTGAATTCATTTGCGTCTATTTGGCAGATAGCGTTGTCCCAGTCTGAAATTTCTTCACCTCTGCAGTCAAGACAATGTCGGTTACAAAAGACGTGAGCTTCTCTTTAAAAGTTGTGATAAATAAACAGAAAACCAAAGTTCTATTCGCAGAAGCTGAAAGCGATTTTGTCGATATCCTGATTAGCTTCTTGACATTGCCGTTGGGAACGATCGTGAAAATCCTGAAGAAGCACTATAAAGATGAAGAGGCGCCTGTCAAAATCGGAAGCTTAACAAGTTTATACAATGGCATAGCAAATCTCGACAGTGACAATTTCTGGACCGATGGTTTACACGATGTGCTGCTCAATCCGACAAGTTCATTCGGAGACGAATGTCTTCAACTAAAACTCGATATTAGTGACAGTCAGCCCACAAAGTACTTCACTTGTAATCCACACCACTGTCGACCAATCCCATGCTTAAGCGTATACTATGATACCGTAATATGCGGCTGTTGTCAAATAATGAAAAGAGAAGTAGGTCAAAACATGTCCGAGGCTATTGGTGTTTTTACCATTAATACAATGTCTTTCATAATATCCGATGATCTTCGGGTACTTCCTAATATGATGGGTTTCGTGCAAACTCTTAAAGATCTCGACGTTACAGACACCAATGGCACAGAGCTTAGGAATGTTACTTTTGGATTCAATGAGGTTAGTGTCTCGAGAGTCCGTTTCAATATTATTTCTTGAATATTCACTACAAAAAAAAAATCTTGACAACACCTATTTTTCACATAGTTAGGCAAAAAGTGTTGTCACTATGCTTGTCATTAACGGGGTGTCGCTAATGCTCTATAGTGACAATAAATAAGTATTAAGTGACAACAAAAAGAGCTATTAGTGACAATAGAAAAGATGTTGTCACTTAATGTGTGCATTAAGTGACAACTTTTGCATTTGTCACAATTGGGGTGTCGCTAATGCAACTTTTTCTTGTAGTGAGTACTATCTCAATTGAATGATAAATGTTCCTTGTATGCATTAGATAATGGATTTGCTCAAGGCCTCATTAATGTCGCGTACTCCGCTGACTGATATCATACTCAACAAAAGCCAGATGTACGGCGACTCTGCCAGAACGAAATATGAACCAGGAGTTCCACTTGATCGGATTGACAAAAAAGCAACTCCCAACTCCAAGAAGATGAATTTAAAAGTGATTTTACAAAAATCGAGCAATAAGTTATTGTTTGCTCAAGCTGAGGATGATTTCGTTGATTTCCTTTCATGTTTTCTCGCCATCCCACTAGGAGGAGTTGAGCATCTTTTGGGAAGTAACACTTGTTTTAAGAGTATAGACAATTTGCACAAGAGTGTTGCAGATCTTATCAGTGACAAGTATCTAGCGAGTGCGGGTACAAAAAATAGGCTAATGAATCCCAAGCTATTTCACGGTTATATTTCCGAAAACTTTATTCTTCCCTTGAATAACCCAACTCTTATTCCCACCTATGAGTGTGCAAGGGGTACTATAAAGTTTGCTTCTATCAATTTTGTGAAAGGGCAGGGGAAATATGTGAGGGGACCAAGAATGTACAAGATAACCGATGATTTGACTGTGACACCTTTCTGTATGGCCTCGACTATTTCCACTCTTGAATACCTCAACATCCCTTTGTCAGACATCAAGGAAATGGAGTTTCAGATTGGGCTGGAAGAGGTAATATAACTTTGAAGTTTAATTCGTTTGACATGTGTTTGAGATTAGTACTAATTATTAATTATGTAGGCTTTAAGCATATTGAAGGCATCCCTTACATCGACTTCTGCTTTGTCCGATGCTATGAAGATCAAGCCCATGTTAATGAAACAACCCAAACAAGAGCCGTACTGTTAGTCGCGATCGCTGTTCGATCTTGCTACAACTTCATCCAGCAATCTTGTGTCAGTGTGATTCATTCCATCATAAAGTTGTACTTTTTATATTTGAAAACTCTGTTTATATGTACTTCAGCAGATCTGAATATCAGCTGACAATCTCCATTCTTAATGTACTTATGGAAACTTTACCCTCGTTATTCGTTATTCTTGCCTTTTAATAGTTTAGGGACAATAGACAATTAGGGACATAACATTGTAGAATAAGATATGGTAATTAACCAAAACAATGAGAAAGTACATTACTACTTGTTAGAATCCGAGAGGATTCTATTTCGGTTTTTCAACACGTGTGCGAAAAACGTGTATAAAAACTAGGGAAGTTTCCTTAGTTCTTTAAACTCTTATTTTGTCATTAATTTATTTAATTGCCTAAGTGTTTTATTAACAAGGAATTTAATTGACTAAGACTTTCCTTGTTTTACACAACTCTCTTTTTCTTACGTGAGATAAAATAACCTAATGGGCTCCACTTTTGTGTAGGGCTCTACTAATCCACCTAAGGAAGTATAAGAAGGGCAGCATCAACGTTATTTTATGTCGTCCCTTTTATTTGAGAGAAAAACTTTTTCTGCTCTTGCGTTGCTGCACCTGAGTTGTGATCTTATTCGAGAAGAAAAACACAGCAAACGATTTGCTTCTTTCACGCGAAAAGAAGATCGGTTCTTCGGGAGAAGAACTCAGAAGATCTCGGGAGGAGGTCGATCCGCCGTCTGAGGGACTCAGCGTTGAAGAAATTTCAACCGTGCGGAAAGGGACGTGCTGCAAAGTGAAGATTGACAATTCAGCGTAGGATACAAGAACGGCGTCGACAAAGAGGGAGTCTTTGCATTTTCGATTAAGTCCTATTACTGTATTCGTAAAACTAAAAATTAGTGAATTTCATTTGCAGGTCCCCGTGGATGTAGGGTACAATTGTATCCGAACCACTTTAAAATTTGTGTCTTTTTATTACTGTTCCATTAACTGTTGCAACTCTTCGTAAAACAGTAGAACAGTAGCTAAAACTGAATCTGGGATTTATCGGACACAAATTTATAATTAATTTGCACGAAATAATTCTAACACTACTATCGATGCTCTTAAAATAAGAAGTACGCCTAGTCGCCTCTTTAGATAAACGAAATTACAAATGTGACTGCATGCTAGCTGATTAATCAATGCCCGTAATGTTCATTCCCGTTTTATCTTACATTGTTTCATCAACAAGGAATTGATGTTCACACAATTGGTTAGAGCAGAGGTTGACGCAAGAGATACTTTCAGTATCTTCAGAGTCTACAAGCAACATGGAAAAAAAAGAAAAATTAAGGACAAATTGCACTTCGCCCCTTAGAAAGTTAAAAAAATTGCAACTTCCCCCTAGAAAAAAAAAAAAAAAAGACATCCGCTTGCAAAATATATTTTTGTTGCACTTTGCCTCAAAGTCAAATTTCCTGCATATTTTACCGAAATTGACAAAATATTGTCCACTCAAAGGGGATTGCCGTCATTTCAGGGTATATATGTAATTTTGTCATACCCAACCCAAACTCTCATTCATATAACCCACAAATTACACATTAGGATTGAAAAGTGAGGGTTCTTCTCTCCCAAATTACAAATTGTTCGAATTGAAACCACACATTACTTGTGTCGTATTTTGTGTTCCTTCTCTCGTGATTTTTGAACCCCCCGGGATAGCTTTCTAATTAAAGAAACAATGAACAATTTTCAGACTAAAATCCCTAATTTTATGTTCTTAAATGGTTTGGTGAAATGCTAGTGAAGTGTTTGATGGTTGTTGTGCAAAAGATACTAATATTAGGGCTTGGATTTGGTGGGAATGGTGAAATGACGGATGGAGTTTTGTCAATTCGGTCAAAAAATACGCCGGAAGTTTGATTTTGGGCAAAGTTCAACATAAATATAATTTGCAAGGGGACTTCTCCTTTTTGAATTTATAGGGGAGAAAGTACAATTTTTTTATTGTTTTAGGGGGTAAAGTGCAATTTGTCCATAATTAATTTAAGTGCATTAACATATAGGACAAAATGCACTTCACCCCCTAGAATTTTCCATTTTCGCATTTCCCCACCTAAAATTAAAAAAAGAACCAACACCCCTCCAAAATATTATTTCCGTTGCACTTTTTGCCCCAAAAGCCAATTTTCGATGGGTTTTTCGCCGGAATTGACATTTTTCAGTCTTCTCGAAGAGTATATTCGTGATTTCATCATTACCACCCAAATCCCTAATATCCTTCTCGACTCTTATGGTCCACAAGCACAACAAAATTTTTGAAGCAAACATTAGGGATTTTTCTCCTAAAAATTGGGGTAAACAACAGAAAACCCCACGTGTTAAGAAAAACTTGCGCCAAATCCTCCTGTGTTTTTTTCTTGCGTAAAACCCCTTGTATTTTATTTTACTTTTGCAAATGCTACTTTAGTTTGAAAGTTTGACTTGCCTTTCATCATATGCCCTTCTAAACTTGGCTTTGGATCTTTTAATTTGTCGAATCGCCTTTCTTGTTTGTAGAGTATCTCAACTTTGAACTACGAGACAAAATTAATTAATAGAATAAAGTCATGATAAACTCATTTTGTTAGACTTTGATTTCCCCGGAATAAATATTTGTATCAGAATCTGCATCGGTTTTCTTCGGAATTGGTAAAATCTAATTCGGGGAAATGGATTGTATCAAAAAAAAAATAATAAAAAAAGCACAAAATACACTTCACCCCTGTAAATTTCTCATATTCGCACCTAAATATTCAAAAAATAGATAATCCCTTTTGAAATATTATTTTTGTTGCACTTTGCTCTAAAAACCAATTTTTGTTGGGCATCATCATGCAACAAAAATTCTATTTTAAATGGGCAACGTGCAAAAGACATAATATTTTTTAACGAGCAACGTGCAATAAAAATAACATTTAAAGGGGCAACACGCATAAAAAGTACTCAATTATGATGAATAATCCATCGGAATTCCGCTATCGGGACAATTTGCAACAAGAATAACATTTTGAAGGGAACATTCCCTCTGATAAAATATTGAGGGGTTAAAGTGAGAATTATAGAAATTTATAGGGGGCGATGCGCAATTTTCCCTTAAAATAATGTATTCTTTATGGGAAACCGGCGGTCGACCTTCTCCTTCGACCCCTGGATTTTCTTGAATTCTGCCCTATTAAACAATCATTTTATCTTCTTCTGATTTCTTCAATTTTTTCAGCCAAGAACCAAAAACAATGTCCGGTAGAAATGAAGTTGAATTCACCTTCAAAGTAATGATAAACAAACAAAAAACCAAAGTACTCTTCGCAGAAATCGACAGCAGTTTCGCCGATGTTTTACTTAGCTTTCTTACATTGCCATTGGGAACAATTATAAAAGTTCTGAAGAAGCACTACGGAGATGGTCAAGAGACACGTGTCAATATCGGAAGCATAACAACTTTGTACAACGGCTTAGCGAATCTTGACATTGATCATTTCGAAACCGAGGCAGCTAAGGAGATGCTACTCGATCCAGTCAGCGCATTCGATGCGGAACGTCGTAAACTGAAACTCGATATTAGTGACACAAACCCTACCAAGTACTATCCTTGTCAAGACTGGTTTTGCAGGTTTTTTAGATGGTCAAATGTACGCATGCACTCCGATAATACCGGTAGATGCGGCCGCTGTGGGAAGACGATGACGAAAGAAGTTCGTACTCGAGGAGATGGTGACAGTGGAGTTTTTACGATTAATACGGTTTCTTTCTTAATCTCCGATGATTTGGTGATGGTGCCGAATGTGGCAGTACCCACGGTGCGAAATCTCCGGGATCTTGGCATTACGAATATTGATCGTGGTGAGCTAATGAATGTGGCTTTTGGATTCAATGAGGTTAGTTTTTAGTGTAGGGTTTATTGCAAACAGTACCCTTGTGTTATATTGAATTACTAAAAAACTATTGCGTGTTATTTTATTGGCAAAATCTTCCTACGATTTAATTTTTTGGGCATATTGCACATCACCCCTTAAAAATTTCTAGTTTTCGCACTTTACTCCCTCAAATTTTTAAGAAGTGAATGTCCTCCTTCAAAATTATTCTTGTTCACATAGCCCCGATAGCAAAATTTTGATGGATTATTCATCAGCATTTGAGTATTTTTGTTGCACATTACCCCTTTATATGTTATATTTGTTATATTTGTTGCACGTTACCCCTTAAAAACATTAGCTTTTTTTTTTCCCCTTTAAAATGTTATTTTTGTTGCACAATGCCCACCAAAAATAGGCTTTTGGGTCAATGTGCAACCAAAATAATATTTTGAAGGGGGATTATCTGGTTTTTGAATCTTTAGGGGGGAATGTACGAAATTGGAAAATTTGTAGGGGATGAAGTGCATTTTGTTCTAATTGTTTTTAGCAATTAGTAACTTGTTTATTGGCAAAAACTTCCTTCGATTTAACTTTTTTTAGCAATTAGTAACCTGTTTAGGTGGTTGTATAAAAAAAATTGAATCATAGGGGTGGTTTTGGCAATAAAATAATATATATGAGGTAGTTTGTTAGCAATGTGATATAACAAAGGGGTAGTAACTGCAATAAACCCGTTTAGTGTATGTCTTGAATTTTCTTAAGGATCTTTAATTTGTTGAATGCTATAATGTATATTTGATTTTTAATATTCCTTGTTTGCCTTAGGTTATGGATTTGTTGAAGGGTTCGTTACTGTCGCGGACTCCACTAACCGACATTATACTCGATAAAAGAGAAGGTAACTCAACCAAACCACACTTCGAATCGGAAATATTATTGAGTCATGAGAATGAGAAAGAGGCAAATTTTAGCTCTAAGAATTTGCTTCTGAAATTGATTGGTCAAAGATCTACAAATAAGTTGATGTTTGCACAAGGAGATGAGGCTTTTATTGATTTTCTTTTTCGTTTGCTGACAATTCCTCTTGGAGGAGTCGAGCGTGTTTTGGGCGGTAACACTTGTCTGCGGAGTATAGATAATTTGTATAGGAGCGTAACTAATCTGATAGACGACAAGTATCTAGCGACTCCCGATATTAAGACTGTGTGGTTGACCTATTCCGATTTTGGAAATCAACCCGTTACAATTTACGCGCAAGGGGATCGAAATTATGTTAATTTTGTTAAAGGACCAAAAATGTGTATGGTGAGCGATGATTTAACGGTGACCCCTTCGAGTATGAGCTCAAGCCTTTCTGTTCTGAACGAGCTGAATATAAATGTATCTGATGTCGAGATGGTGGAGATGCAAATTGGATTACATGAGGTAGTATGATTATATTTTAACTTTCGTTTGTCGATGTTTATTTCATATATTATTTTGACTTGTGGAGAGTTCATATGTTTTGTAGGGTTTGAGCATATTGAAGGCCTCTCTTACATCGGCTTCTGCTCTAACTGATGCCCTGAAAATCAATCACATGATAAAGAAACAACCTAAGCAAGAACGCTAATAAGGTTGTTCGTGAATTTGTTATGTTGGTCGTCTTACTTGTATTGTAATGTTGGCATGTTTCGTGTTTTTTCTATAATGACGTTAATCCTTTTATGATCATTTCATCGGTAGTATGCAACTATGCGTATTATAATGTATTTGTTGTTAAGGTCTCGTTTGGCTGTGGAGATTGGACATGATTGATTAAATAATTGGACTTTATTTGTTGTTTGGTAAACCCAATAATTTTTCGGCTTAATCTTGCGTTTTAGGTCCAATAATAATACAATTGAGTTTTCATTAGATTATTTAATATTATCTTGACTGGTCTTATCTTACGAAACAAACGAGGCCTAAGTATACTGAAAATGCATTGTGCGGCACTCTTCGAAACACTGTTAATCGAGTATGTCTCAAAAGGTGTTTTCAGATATATTATGGAGTATAATTCATATCAATGGATTCAAGTTGAGAAAAATCATGCCAATATTAATGTAGGCGCGCACAATGTTTGTTGGATATGATCGGATTTGGATCGGTTCACTTGTGGTTTGATACAAAATAGATTAGTTTTGAAATGGACCGTCGACAATTTAGAAACATCACTTAGGAACATCGACAATTTGTACAGAAGCATAACCGAACTGATAGACAACAAGTATATGACAAGTCCATGTATAAGAAAAAAGGCTGATCAAACCATCGATTTTAACGGATCGGGAAATTGTAAGGGATCCGAAACGCGAGAAAATCTATGTCAAGGGACCTGGAAATTATGTTGTAATAAAGTCGTTAACTGTGAGACCTCTTCCTACAATCCCTTACCCATGGGCGGAACCACGTGGGGCCTAGGGGGGTTTCCCCCCTGCAGAAAAAAAATTATCACCCCCCCCCCCCCCCCGGAGAATTAAAATTTGTGCGCTTTTTGCCCAAAAAAAAAATTTTTTTCCTTCTCTTTAATTCCCCACGGATTTTGGGCCCACCAATTAAAAATCCCGGGGGCCGCCCCTGGCCTTGCCTGAAAAACCCTTTATGCGAAGAAATCAAAAAAGTGAAGGTCGGGATTGGATTGGAAAAGGGAAAAATGGTCGTTTATATTTGAAACATTCTTATAAGGATTTTCGGTTATTATTTTACATGGTAAAACAACGAGACTCGTTTTTTTGCTAAAGTACGTAGGCGTTACGCATACTGGAAGGATCTCTTGGATCGGGTTTTGGTTTATTTGGAGGGCTCGCTAATACCCTATTAAATAAACGACCGAAGCCAGAATCGTGATCTGGTTAGGAAAGGTTCAATCATGCATTTGTTCACTTCAGTACTCTGTTTCAGTAAACAATATCATATTTTCTAAGTACTTTGTTTCAGTAAACAATATCATATTTTCTAAACAACTTTGTAAACCTCTATAAATTAATACAGTCGGGATTAGGGAGATTCTATTAATTGAGCGAATTATTAAACTATCGAGTTAATGATTTAACACGTTTTCACCGAGTCTGGACCGAGAGAAACTATTATTTTAATGGAGGTTCGACAGTATGTTACGCAACAAATTAATTTGAAGAAAAACTATTGAGATCCAAAAAAATTATGAAAATTGAGATTGGTCTAACACAAATTCCTCTGTACATACTATATCTCTTCAAATTGAGATTCTTACCAAGTAAAAGATTATAATTAATCTCTACTGTTAATACTAATATTGACATTTTTCACTGTCTCTAACTATTATCCAACTCTCTCTCCATTCCCAATTCGCCCTCCCGGAAGAATTCGTCGCTAATTCTTTAATCCTCTCCATCGGAGAATCCGATAAATCTTCGTAATTCACCTCACATGGAGTTTCCGAAAGTACTTCTTCCTCAACCAAACTCCAAATCCCGTGATCAAGAATACTCGTCGGCGAACACGTGTTATCTTCAATCTTCTCTAAATGTTCAAATCGAAATTCGTCAAGAAAAGGATGCCGTAAAAGCTCTTTCGCAGTCCATCTCTGTTTCGGATCAACTCTCAAGCACTTACTCAAAAAATCCTTCGCCTCGCCGGAGATGAAATCCGGAATCTCCGGCGACTCGCCGGAGAATGCAATCCGGCGAAGCGTGGCGGCGGCGTTAGGCCACGGCGATTTTCCGGTGGACATCTCGATAACCGTGCAGCCCAATGCCCAAATATCCGCCGGAAAACTCTGTTCTTCCCCTCGGGCGGCTTCCGGCGACATATACATCGGAGTGCCGCCGATTGCCGCCTCGTCGGCAAACTTAGCGCAGCCGAAGTCGGTAATTTTGACTTCGTTTAATTCGGTCAACAATACGTTGCTCCCTTTAATATCGCAGTGCACTATCCCTTTCGAATGCAAGTACTCTAACCCCTTAAGAATTCCACACGTGTAGTAACCGATTGATGTCTCGTCCAGCTGGATCCGGAGAATTCGATCGGCGATTGTGCCTTTTGGCGCGAACTCCATCATCAGATTGAAGATTGGCTTGTTGTTCTCCACGCTAATGTTGCAGCCTTTGTAACAAATTATATGAGGATTATTAAGAGTGGATAGGATTTTGTGCTCTCTCTGCAGAGGCTCCGATTGCGACAGCTCAGCGGATTTCACGGCGAATATTTCGCCGGAGATTTGTGAAGTAGCCACCGACACGGCGGCGGTGGCTCCGTGGCCTATAATATGGCCTCTGGTCCAGTACTCCATTTTTTTTTTTTTTTTTATTTTTGCTCTGAGTTGAAGAATGGAATATTTTTTTTCTTTTTTGTTTAGTACATGTTTGGTTGTACAATATATCTATATATATATATATATATGTGGATATATGTGGGTGTGTGCGAAAACAATGATGAGAATATAGAAGGTGGCATAATTAAAAAAAGGTTTGGATGTAGTCCGAATTAGTTGGGAATTGGTGAGTTGGAAGAAGGTTGCTTTACGTGGCGTTATATGTATGGCTATTAGTTAGTTGGGCACAAATGGAAGTAGGCGGAGGGCGGGTTATTACTTGGCCAAACGGGTCTTCACCACGTGGCAGCTTTAGGAACGAGGATCAAGAGTCCAGAATTATGATTTACATTGATAGTAGTACTCTACTTGTATTCAATAAAGTTTTTTTATACACAAGGAAAGATGTATCACGCTTTCGATGAAGTTTTATCGGCATGGGTTTTTAGTTGCCAAACGTCTCTAAACGTAATATGTTAAAACCCTTGATAATTGAACTTCGATTTAAGCTATTATCTATATTATTAGAGTGAATTATATTCTAAATAACTTTTTTTATAAACCATAGAACTTTTTTAACAATCACTCAGTATTAATATATAACCGGTTGTACCATAGAATTTTCTGATTTTAACACTGGGTGATTGTTGACCATAGCGCATACACACCAAGGCCGGTCCGGCGTATTCGGGGGCAACATCCGAATTTTTTTTCCCACATCTTAAGATTAATAAATAATATAAATAAATTATTTATTAACAGAAACCTCATAAATTGTCTAGATAAAAATATTAATGTCCAGATAAAAATCTTTTGTGTAAATCAATGTTAGAATAAAAAAAAAAACATTAAATTTCAAATCTATTTTTTAAAATTATAAAAAAGAAAACATAATAAAAGAGTAAAAAAATAGAAGAATATATTTGTTTAACAATAAAACATTTTTTACACACAAAAATATATAATATATATATTAAAAAACTGAAAATTTGGGTCCCCTTTAAAATTGGGCCCTGGACGTGGGCCCTGCTCGCCCCACCTCAGGGCCGGCCCTAACACACACACGCGCATGTATATCTATCTGTACTTATTGAGTGGTTATTACGATTGACAGTCACTCAATGTTCAGCGTAGCATATAACTCCCCATTTACAACTATATTGGTGAATCCTCCATTATATTCAAATTTAAATTATTTTATAAAAATTCAACCAAACTCCCAATAAAAATTGATTTGTTATGGTTTTATTTACTGAAAAATAAGTGAAATGTATTGTATCGAAAAAAGATTGAGCATATGTAGTTTGCAAGTTATTACAGAAGCGAAATTTATTCAATGCATTCTTAAGTAATTATAAGTTTTCTTGGCAATAATTTTATTTTTACCAACAAATATAATTAGGTTAGGTGGATAGATTGGAATAATGGATAATCCAAAAATATGGTAAAGTTTGATGCGTTGTATTGTAATGGAGTGGGGCAATGACTTTGAAGATTAAATTTGTGAGTTGGCTAACTCTTGTTAAAGTGGTTTGACCCAACCAACAAAAAGTTTTTATTTCTTTTCTTTTTCATTTTCTATATTTATAAATATGCCTTTATTTGGTTGACACGTTGAATTTTAGGATGACTTTTGTGGATTAATATCTTTGTTTCCAATTAAAAAGTCAACTAAAAGTACCATAAGAAGAAAGAGAAAAACCTGCAGCAAGTCAAAACTATAAGGGAACTAATTTGATGCACATTTTCTTTTCATCACGTGTTTAAATAAAAATGTTTATAAAGTTTTGTCTAGATTGAGGAATTAACAACTCATCTTCTTTTTTAATTTGGCATATTTAAATTTGCAGCCTACTAATTTTAGTTACTTGGTTGAATTTATTGAAAATGCTACACTCGACAAAATTCAATGAGTAGTAATTAGGTCGACTGGATAAATCTACACTCTCGTATAATAGTTTGCAAATTATACGAGAGATGTAAAATACACTAGACTAATAATGTGTGACAAGCTCGACTCAGTGAGGCAAGAGAATTATATATGATATATTCGTTTTTATGTAAAAGTGTTGAGTTTGGTGGTTAAATTCTTAATATGTTTCTTTTAAATTTCAAGTTATAAACCATTGCACTAATAAAAACTCTCCATATTTTACTTTTATCATTAGAAAATAAATTTGGACCAAGATTTCATGTGATCATTGATTTATGAAGTCTAATTTGCTCTTTAATGATCACCTTCTAGATGAAACACATAATCATATTTATTGAATCTTAAGATATAAACCATCTCAGCAATAAACTGTCTGTTCTTAGTGGTCCCTAACTTGGAAAACAAGAATTAAAACATTTTTCCAATTAAAAAAAATTATGAGAAAAATGAAACATAAATAAAAAAAAAATTAATAAAATAAAGTGTGTATGATTCAAAGATCCAATTAATAGTATATTAAGTGATGAGCTACATGTCATAGCCATAAAAATGACATGTGTCACACCCTGAAACCATAATCACTATTCATCCAACTAAGAGTAGGAAGGATTGAAAGTAAGAAAGTGACAATTATTTTATTTTATTTTTTATTTTAATAAGATATGTCCCATGTCAATTTAGTTATATGCCATACTTCAAAATGAAGTTTAACATCATAATAAAACCTTAGAAATTATTCAACATTACCAAGAAATTATAGCCCAACTAAAATTGGCAACATGATATAGTGTATTTATAAGAAGACAAATATAGAAGAGTATATTTGACATTGAATAACAAGACGAACGAATGTGTTGTAGATGTTTCATCAGGTGAAGTATGCTGCTTAGTTTTTTTATATACAATCAAACACACGTAAATATCTTTAAAAAAAACACGTAAATATAAATGTGTGTAAAATATATATCGATTTATTTATATACATGTATAATAAAATTTAATTCGATAAAATTTATCGAATGTAATTATGTAATATAAAATAAATTGTCAAAGGATCATGAATGAAAACAAGCCACAAAAGGGCTCATAGAAGTTGTAACTAATTTCACCAATTTAATTGACCAATGAATATTAATTTTGTAGAAACACTAAACAACAATAGGTCGGATTTGGTTGGAAATTAAATAAGTAAAGGGCCACTAGCTAATGTTTTTATTTTGGCAGTTAGTCAATCTGCTGCCGTTTGACCTATTTTGGTTGGTTGAATCTGTATAAAAACACATCTATTAATTCAACTGTCTATTAACAGCATTTTAATATTAAAATTAATATTAAATGTAGTCGATTTGAATATAGTTTTATTCTATTTTGATTTTTTTAATTAAAGATCTGCAGAAATTATACTTTACCAAAGCAGTTAAATGAATCAAATTTAGTGTATCATTGAAACATATTTAAATCATAGTTTATGTTACGCGTGGGAAATTATTATTACTCATGAGTAATATATATTGTCCCGCAACAGATAAATTAGTGGTTTGCATTAAGTGACAAATTAGCGGTTCTAATTCTCTTGTCAATGATCGCTAAATCGAGCTTGTCACACATGATTAACCTAGTTTAATTTTCGTCTTTTGTATATTTTATAAGCTATTATACGAAAGTATAAATTTACGATTTACTCAGTGCACCTGTATAGTTTGAGAAACGGCAAGTTTACTAAAATAACCAAAATGATCATTTTTTTCAACAATATAATATGAACATTTATTTTGAAATCAAATAATTTATTAGGGATGACAATTGTGGGGTCTCAAGCGAATCTAAATCCAATCTCACACTCCAATAATTTAAGGGACTAACATGAAAATCGAAATAATTTTTGAATTTTGCCAATTTTAATTTGAACATTTTTATAGCTTTTGGAATTTTTTATTTCTAAAATTTGAACTTTTAATTATCCAAAAAATTCAGGTTAGAGTTGACCTAAAATATCCAAGAAACTCAAATTTATAGTAAATTGTAATTTATAAATTAAGTCCAAAAAAAAAAACCAAAATAAACATTTATCGGTATTTAATTATTATATACCTAAATAATATAATTATGCTCTTATTCGGTGAAAACTAGAATGGAATTTATAAATAATACCACTTTGGATTAAGTTTATAAATTCTACATGTATTATGATTTAACTACTAGACTCTTTCAATAATATTTAATAATAATATAATTAAAAGTTTAGAGAAATGTGTTTTAATTATAATGTAGAAAACTTGGATTTGATTCGATGATGGTTGATAATTAAAATCCAAGATCTAACCTACCCCGTAGGTTTTAAATATATTAAGAAAATTGTACATTAATTTATTCATATAAAAATATTGATTGATTGAAATTGAATCTAAAAATGTCGGCCGAATGTAATGATATTTAGGTGATGACCGGGCATGGCGTGGCTTTCAAGAGAGAGTGATGATTAATAAACTTTTTGCCTTCATCAAATTCACGTGCAAGTGATCTTTTCTTCATGCCCAAACGCTCGATTTTATAGATGTTACACCAGTTCATCTTATACCGGTGAATGTATACGTAATAACGCATATTTATGCGTATATATGCTCAATAAGTAGTTATTTTCATAGATCAGTAACGTAGGATCACTCAGTATAATTCACCAAATTTAGCATCTCAAAGACCTGGATACTCCTACATTCACATTTATGTGAACGATTCGACTTACTAACAGTTATGCAATTAAGGATTCAACTTGCAAACAATTATGTATATTTTCAATTGTATTTATATCTTACCATGGTTTATATTTGTAGCAATTAATAATAGTAAGAAATTATAATCTATGTAGCATGAACACGGAAACGGCAGTATGGGGAGACAGTGAAACGGATACTGGGAAGCGGCATGTTCTGAAAATAGGGATATGGAAACTTGGAGGAGACGTGTAAATATAAAAAATATAGGGGTGTATTTATAAATATTTTATATAATATAAGTTTTTATTTATAAATAAATTCTTTTTATATATTTGTATACAACTTATTCAAAATAAATTTACTATCAACTATTAAATGCAATTGATCATTAAATCATGTAAATAATTTGAGAAACAATAAAAATATTCAAAAATTTGCTATTTAAATATGTTTCTAACTTTTTAGAAATTGCAAAATGACCCATAAAGTGTCCGGCAAGTGTCTTCAAATTTTTGAAATGCAAAAACGTTAAGAAGTTGAAGTTTTCGTGCTAATAGATTATAACTTTATCGATTAATATAAATAAATTAAAAAATAAACATAATATTATATTTAATTTGATTGTATTGATGGGCTCAGAGCCACAAGGGCCCAATAAAACTAGGTCCATGAATGTGAGTTAGCAGGTCATAACCGAGTTATGAGGCTTTTAGACAGAGGGAGGTATCATCTCTCTATAAATAGGGCAAATTACACTTACACCTCTGAAGTATGCTAATATAATTTTAAGGTCCCCATTTTATACGTAATTACAGTCACACCCCTGAAACAATTACCGGAGCCAAGATTTCATGTTTTGGGGTCCAATATGCTCTCTATTTGTTTCCCGTGGGGGCGTTAATGCTACCATAAACAAAAAAATATAAATCTTGTATATGATAATAATGATTTGAAATGCCGGGAAAGGTATATCACAGCCCCTAGCTCTATGTTGTCTCCACCAATGCCTAAAATTAATCGTCCGTTACAACCCTAATGGAATAACTTATTCAATGCATTATTATGTTAGGGTTTGTCACAATGTTTCAAAGGTGATTGTAATTACCGAAATCACAGGGACCTTAAAGTCATTTTAACATACCTCAGGAGTGTATGTGTAATTTACCCCTATAAATATCCAATATTCTCATTATGCAACTAATCAGTTGACACTTTCATTCAATAAATACCCATAACCGATAATCAGTTTGCATACATCTAATGAAATTGCAGTAAGGAAAAAAAAAAAGAAAAACCATAATGCTTCAAACTTGTACAAGGCAACAAAGGCTTAAACAGCTAGCTCTAGTGTTCTTGCTTAGGTTGTTTCTTTAACATGGAATTATTCATCAGACTGTCGGTTAGAGCAGAAGTCGATGTAAGAGACGCCTTCAATATGCTTAAAGCCTGCACCAAAAAAGGAAACCAAACAAGTGAACATATATAACTAATTAATGAAATAAACACGGCATATAAGTTCAATCAATCAATCTATACCTCTTCTACTCCAATTTGCACCTCGACTTCTTTGACATCAGATAAAGGGATTTTCATCTCGTTCAGAATCGAAAGGCTAGAGGTCATACACAAAGGAGTCACAGTTAAATCATCACTCACCGTATACATCGTTAGTCCTTGTTTAACATAATTTCCTCCGCCTTTGATAAATAGCATATCATGAATTTGTCCACCACCTCGACCGGAATACGAGAACCATTCTTTTTTGTTGTTGAAGTCTTGATGGTAATATACAAGAGTTTGTTCACTCAATGGAAGAATCTGGTTTGCCGAGATATACCCGCGCGGTAGCTTCGGGTCCGTTATCCTGTTTCTCATATCTCTAGTAGCCATATACTTATCATCAATATCTGCTATGCTGTTGTATAAATTGTCTATACTCTTAAGACGAGTTTTACCGCCTAAAAGGCACTCAACTCCTCCTATGGGAATGGTGAGAAAACTAAATAGGAAATCCACAAAATCATCCCCAGCTTGCGCAAACAATAACTTATTGTTCGATTTTTGCACCATCAATCTCAAAATCATCTTCTTAGGGTTAGAAGTTTCTTCGTTTTTCATCTTGTTTAAGATAACTCCTAGTTCCGAGTTTTGTGTGCCTCCAAAGTCAACTACACGTCCTTTTTCGAGTATGATGTCCGATAGTGGAGTCCGTGAGAGTAAGGATCCCTTGAGTAAATCCATAATCTAAAGCACACAAGGATTATTGTTAGACGTATATTCGAAATAGATAGCATTAAAGAAAAAAAAAACATTCAGATTGTTATTACTCCCTCCATTCCATTTTAATTGTCTTTTTGGGCTAATTCAGATTGTTATTACACATATTAAGAAAACTAATAAATGTGCATGTATTGTAGAAAAAATCATAATAAAATGACTAAAAACCCACTTTTATTAAATATTTAACCATTAATTCTCTTAATATTAATAAGGGCATAGTTGAGAAAACACAATAAATACTTCATTGGAATTCTAAAGTGACAATTACTTTGAAATGAAAAAAAAAAATCTCTAAAAAGACAAATGAAATGGGAAGGAAGGAGTAATACATAACGAAAAAACTAATTACCTCGTTAAATTCAAAAGTCACAGTCCTTAGTTCAGCGCCACCGGTGTCAGTGATGCCAAGATTTGTGAGAGTTTGCATAATTGATACAGCCACACTCGGCACCATTCTCAGATTGTCAGAGATCAAGAAAGTCGTTTTCTTAGTGGCGAAAACTTCTGCAGTGCCATCACCACCAACTTCGGACTCCTCTAAAAAACCAACTTCCCTGTTCAGACTTTTTCCACAACGGCATGTACCGGTAATATTAGCTGTACTTATCTTAGACCGTCGATATTTGCAATTCCAGTCTTCGCAAGAAAGGTAACTGACGGCACTAGAATGTCTGATAATATCAATTTTCAGTTTACAACATTCAGCTTCAAATGAGCTTCTTGAGTTGAGTAGAATCTTCTTACAACCCACTGTCCCGAAATGGTCAATGTCCAGATTTGATAAGCCGTCGTACAAAGTGGTTAAGCTTCCGATATTGACACGTGTCTCTTGATCCTCTCCGTAGTGCTTCTTCAGAACTCTCACAATTGTTCCCAATGGCATTGTTAGAAAGCTAATTAAAACATCCGCAAAATCGCTGTCGATTTCTGCAAATAGTACTTTGGTTTTCTGTTTATTTATCATTACTTTTAAGTTGAACTCAACATCTTCGTTTGTGCCAGACATTCTGCTAATTACTTGGCTGTACAAATACAAGAAACTTCGTTTTTGGAGTAATAATTAAAGAGTATTATAATTATAATAAAGATAAGAAGAATTTCTGCCATTTCTTATAAATAAATAATGCCAGAACTGAAAACCAAGAGTCTGTTGTGTTGTGTCCCACCGAATTCAAAATAGAGACCCTTCCATTTTCCCACATATTCAAACGGTTATCATTCATCACTCTCAATTTGAACATCTCATGAGTCTAGTGCTCGTTTCATTTTCCTCTCTTTTTCTTAAAATAATTAGGTTAAATTACAACCACCCCTGAAGTATGGTCAAATTACGAAAACCCCTCATGTTTGGGTAATTACAATCACCCCTCAACTATAAATCTTATTACACGTCCATCCTTGCAGTGTCAAATTTAGTGGAATATTCTAGATTATCTGGAATATTTATTCTCAATTTTCAACTCTTTATATCCCATTCGAGCTCCACATTTTTAAGTTAGATGATCATAAGATGTGTTTTTTGGCTTGTATATATCAAATTGTTGTGCATCAGAAACTGTATTTTTACACAAACTAGAGCACATTCCACGAAATCTAGAAGATTATGTTGAATTTGACACCATAAATGTAGAAATGTAAGAAGATTCATAGTTGAGGAGGGTACATGTAATTATCCAAACATGAGGGATTTTTTCTTAATTTGACCATACTTCAGGGGTGGTTGTAATTTACCCAAATAATTATAATAAAAATATTCTAAATAAGAAAAAGGGCAATTGCACTTCGCCCCCTAAAAAAATCTATTTTTGCACTCCCCCTCAAAATACAAAAATGAGACCGTCCCCTTTTGAAATATACAGATCGGTGCACTTTGCACCAAATGTTTATTTTCGATCTAAGTCTCGCGAAATTAAAGGTGGATGCCATTTTCTTTTTCCGCTTGAAAAGCCTCATTTCAGAGTTACTTAGGGTTCCCAAATTAACAAGAAAATCTTCCCAATTTGATGAAATTCGCTTCCAAATTACACGAAATTCTATTCCAAATTTGACAAAATCTATTCTTTGTTCTTCATAATCATCATAAGACTGGAAATATGCATTTGGGGCAAAGTGCACCGAGTTGTATATTTCGAAGGGGACAATCTCGTTTTTGTATTTTGGTGGGGGAAAGGTGCAAAAAGGGATTCTCTTTGAGGGAGCAAAGTGCAATTTTCCCTAAAGAAAATGATATATAATTTATTTTTTAATTATTTATATGAATTTATTACTTCATTTATATTAGTTATATTTAAAATAAAATAAAAAAATAAGTTAAAATAAACAAAATAAAAAGTTCGCGAGTCGACTCGCGAACTCACGAACAACTAAAAATGAGCTCGGATTCGACTCGTCATAGAGCTCGAGCTTGACACTTGGGTTTTCCACAAACATTTTTGTTTAACTGCGACTTTGGGGTTTGTATTTGCTTTGTTTCATAACTGTCGTGTTCAGTGGCGAGTCCAGGAATTCAGTACAGGGGGGGCTTCAATTTTCGGGGGTTCGGGGGCAGCGCCCCCGAGACTTTTTTAGGATTTTTTTGAAAATAGGAAAAGGAGAAACGAAAAAAAAAAGAAAGAAAAACAAATTTTAGAGTTTTTTTTGTATTAATTTGGATTTTGGGTGGGCTAATTAATAAAATTTGGGACTTTTTTGTATTAATTTAAATTTTGGGTAGGCTAATTAATAAAATATGGGGCTTCTTTTGCATTAAATGAAATTTTGGGTGGGCTAGTAAATAAATTTTGGGTGGGCTAAATAGAAATAGGGTATAATATAGGGGGAAATTAAAAAAATGAGAGTGGGCTTGAGTCCATCCTTGCCAAGGGTGGACTCGCCCCTGGTCGTGCTGTTTCAATGGTTGATTTTCATGAGTTTATAGACCTAACGAAAATCGTTGATTTTAATTTAGGGATTTGATGCGGATTTGTATTTGTATCAGTTACACGGGTGCAAAATGCGTCCGTTTTTGTTTGTTTATTGGTAATTTTGGGATCTATTTCGTGAGTGCTGATTATTCGGGATTTAAATGTTAAGAAGATAGCATTTTCAATTCCGATTTCAATCTATATAATATACTAGTCACTCACCCGTGCGATGCACGAGGATTAATTCAAAAACATAGAATGAGTTAATATAGAAAACCAACGAATAAAAAATATGTCGAGAATGTAAAGAATACAATTGAACAATAAATAACAAATTCGTATCTTAATTTATCAATCAAAAGTCTCTATAAAAAATAAACTGACAATGTTCTAAGCACCATACACGTTGAAATGTAGCAAGTAACTCCAAGACCGAAATTAAAGTAATGCACCAGTTTTGCACATTAATGTGAATGTTGTTGAAGAAGACCACGGAACTACAATTAGATCTACGACCAGATGACGAATAACCTGTA